TGTACTTATCTTGCAGAACTTCTTCAACGCAAGTTTGGTTTTTGCCTTTTTCTCCGCAGCGGCATTGAAGATTCGAGCCGCAAAGCAAGAATTAATTCCTTGCGGCAGTTTTGACACATGCGATTAGATTTACTGAGTCCATGCAGCATTCATTTTTCTTTATCGCAGTTAAAGTTATCGCGGGGTTGGATAATTAACGCACCATTCGCTGACCGGTTCAGACTGTTTCTCTTGCTGATGATGCCATGCACATTGAACGTTGGAGAATGTCTCATCAGCAGGTGATGTTCTACAGTTCTCAACCTTTTTTTCGTATCAGATCTTTAATGGTTCCGCCAAGGTGCCTCATTCCGCTCATTTTGCTCTTCAGCATTCATTCGTCTACGTCACTTTGGTGCTTTTTCAGTGACAACATTAACTGTTTCTTGTATTCATACAGTTCTGCACTTATCACGATCATTTACTGACGCAGCATAGTCTTTGCTGTCATAATTTGGTTCGTTAATAAAGTTAAGTTTGCCGGAACTTTTGTAGATTATGTTTGCGCTATCCTGAATGTCTGTTGTTCTTTACAATAACAAATTATAATTTTATTTTATGACTTAATCAGTCAAATAGAATTCTGTTTTAATTTCGCTATCTTGAACCGTACTACTGTTGAGATTTAATTTGAGATTCATTCTTTTATAGTTTATGATGCTATCCGTAAATTTACTCAGATAGTTACGCTGATTATTGTTCCGTTGTTTTACTTCTTGTTATAGGAATTTTTATTACGTAATTTAGAAGCTCTGCGTATTATCGTTTTATGTAGCATGTGTTTAATATTTATCATAAGAATTACAATTTGCATATTTATTGATTTAATGGGTTTAGTTTTAGATTTATTGCAATTAATGGAGTAAATTGCAAGATATAGGAACGGCAAAATTGTGCTGCCTTCACTTTCAGTACTATGCAGTGTGTATTTGAGAAAGGAATGACTGTTAGGCTTATGAGAATTTTCGCCTATTACTCCTTTCCGCAGATGGCGAAAACCGCGAACATAGTTTGCAAGCGCCCTGATGAACAAACGGTTAGAGTTTGTCACGGGCCAGATTTTAAGCGCATTCATTGAATGATTCACTTATTGGCGTAAGTCCTTTCATCCAAGTTAATAGTTCGAGTACTTTTTTTTTGCTTTGGCTGAAGCCGAAACACCTCTTTTTGGTGCTCTCTCTCTGTAGTTCCCAGAGATCCGCTATGAAACATCGCTTTGTGTCATATGACTGTAAATGATATATGTGCTAGTATTGGAATTATGGCTTAAGCACTCGGCATGCTAGCGCTTCAAAAATTTGGGCTCGTAAGCCCTAGTATATTAATGAGCAGATAACTGGTCAAGAACCCGGTTTCACAGCGTATAGCATATGGTGCAAATTTTCTTATCAACTGCAAATTTCATTAAGCATTGAGCAAGGAATTAATCCATCGTGTTTTGATGAAAATTGCTGAGAAATGCACATCAAATCGTTGACTGTGAACAATAGGCGATTTGTGTAGCGGTGTGGCTATGCCACAGCATGAGAAAAAAACAGTCATATTGTCATTGCAACCAATGCATGCGCCTAAGACTGCAGATTCCACCTGATATCTGACTAAAAATTAGCACAAGATTTAATATTTGTAAATAAATATATTCGGCATTTTTCTTGTGATTGACCTTTAATGAAGTTTTGAACACATCTGTTGCTTTTCTTAGACAGTTCTCCAGCGCTGCCATCGAATGGAATATTCGTCACATCGCAAAAGAAACTTTCTTCGACTCTGAATTCTAAACATAGACTTAACGCTGGAAGTGGATCTCAAGTGCCATCGCTTAAAGATCGTTTCGGTAATTTGTTCATATGTATGTATCTTTCTATGTGAGGGTCTGGAAGTAATGCGGGAGCTCGCTCCGCTAGGTTGAGTCGGTAGTGTGCCCGCCACGTGTCAATGATGTCTTTTCTAAATCGAAACCTCAGACAGTACCTCACTTCTTAATCCGTTAGGTTGGAGGAAAGTTCGAGAGACGTTTTCAACTTTACGAGGGTTGGCATCCCGAATGAACTGCGAACAATCACTTACGGAAAAAAGTTCAAAGAAGCCAAAAAAATAGTTGCAAACTACCATGCCAGCCTGAACAACACCTTTCACTCAGTAAACCACATGACGCGATCGGTAAGCGGACTAGGAATGTAATCTAGATTTTTATGGCCTGCCATAGTGTGAGAAAGCTATCGACGCATTTCCCGAAGCCTGTATAACGGAAACGGCGAAGATCAAAGCGGTTGTCATTGGAATGTGCGAGACCCAAGGATCTACCAATCCTTTTGGCAGTGCAACGACTTAGCCAGTTATTCCTCTGCAAGGCCTTCGAGAACCCGGCCCTTACTGTTAACGTTTGCTTTATAGTAAGGAGGACGACGGTACCGTTTGCAGTGAGCTCTGAAATTATATAACTCATATAGCAATTCTGCTTCTATAGATGAACGAAGGACATTAAAAGTAGTCCAAGAATACAGCCCAACTCAACGCGCAGAAGATGAAGATATCGAGAAATTCTTTGAGGAAGGTTCAGTAGAGAAGAAGTAGACTGCATATAAGATTGTTCAAAGAGGCTTTAGCTCTGTTCGCAGGAAAAAAGAGTGACACTAAAGTGTTTATCAGTAAATATGGAAAAGACTAAACAAACAAACAAATGTGGAGACCGTTTTGCTGAAAGCAGCAGTCTTCATATCATGAACACATTGTTCAGAAAACCCCAAAGTGACTGGCATTAAGGAGCCCAGATGGAAAGCTCTTGAGCCAAATCGAAAATGTACTGACTGTAAAGAAGCGAATAATATTGGCCGTGTCGGTTATAGGCGAGAACATCATCTGTACAGGGTCAGCTACATGTTTCTACGTTCCATAGATACGACCGACATCGTTGTAGAGGAATGAATCAGAAATGCCCATAAAACACCGTTACGTGAAAATCTGATTCGTTCTGGAGGCTTTTGCAGAGAAGCTACGATTAGTGAACCTTGAAATGAACATTAGCGAGGGCAGGGATGCGCCTTATGATCGTTTTGTCAAGAATGATGTTCGAACAGTAAGCGAGACAGCACAGTCGAAAAGAAACTGTTGTAACCTTACACTGTCGACCCATAAAAAACTTTTATGTCAGCAGGGATCACGGCGGCGCTCAGTGTAATGTAGGCGAAATCGTCTGGTGAATGTTTAAGCACATGCCCTAGCCAGTGTATTCGCCGTTCTTTCAGGACAGTAGAGAGGTGGATGGTGTTGCGACGGACGTGGATTGTGGCGTTGGATGTATGTCGATAAATTTTGTCCGCGAGATGATTCCCAAATACCAGTAGTGGAAGGATTCACGTTTCCTCACGTTTTA